CCTTTTTCCACACTGCCATAATCACTGGGAACAGAGGACATCCCAAACAGCTTCAGCTGGGGCAGCCCTTGGATCCCATTTCCAGATCTTCTCCCCAGTCACTGCAGCCACCTCAGCTGGAGAAAGCAGACATCTACTACTTGCTGTCAGCTCCTGAGAGCAGGCTGGAAATAGCAATAGCAACAGCAATACAACTGTGTACCACTCCCCTTTCTCCTCACTATTACCCCAAAGGCAGGAGTCCAGCTCTGTGGGCAAAGGGAAATAAATCCCCATCCCAATGACCTCGTCACACAGATGCTGTCATACAGGGACCTTAAGAGAGGAATATCATTAGTGGTATCAGGAGAGCCGCAGCACTTTACGAGGCAATAACCCACGCTCATCACTGTGAAAAGCTACTTGGTCTCTGACCTCCTCATGGTCTCCTGCCAGGGAGCCTGGCTACTGCTGCCCAGTGCTGCCACGGGGACGTTAGTACTTAATTAAACTGGTAGGAACAACATGGGGCAGAGGGAGGAATGCCATGGGGCGGAAGTGCTTCTTTGATCCCACCCCATGTGTTTCCCAGCAAGGATGGCAAACAAAAAGGAGTAACTTGGCTCCCATCTCCACCAGGGTAAGGAATGTCCTGCATGGGACATGTCAGATGCCAGTCCTTTCTGCACTGTGGTTTACTTTTTAAACAAGAGTCAGATGCAACATGCAGCTTCTGCCTGTCACGGAGCCCATCTGCCCATTCCAGCCCTTGGCTCTCCTCCCCACCACTGAGGGGCTGCTGGCACCCACTGCCCATCCAGCGCCAGCCTGAGCACAGCGGGCTCTGCCCTGCCTGCTTGTCAGCACCACGAGGCTACCAATTCCCTGTGGCTACGTACTGCCCAGCAAGGACATCCCTGCTGGGCCACCTGGGAAGGGCAGTAGGGCCCACTCCAGGGCTGCAGCACTGAGATGGGTTATAGCTGCAACTGAAGAGCTTGGCAGAGCTGCAGGCTCCTGCAGAGAGCATTTCGGGGAACACCATCTCCACTGGGACCTCATGTTTGTTCACCTGGGTTCTGGCCCACACAACACTGACCACTTATTTGTTGATACCAATTAGCAGCCACTGAAGAAGCACCACATCCAGCAAGAGATGGACAAGGAAATGGCTGCAGAAAGCAGCTGCAGGATCTCGGAGGTGCCCTGGGGAGCTCTAGGTAAGTGCAACCATCACACCGGGCACCGCAGGCACAGCCCATACAAAAAAGCCCCTGCACCTGATCAGCCCTGTCCATCACAGGCGGACACGAGCAGGGTGAGCTCTGCACAACCAACTCTTCCACCACGCTGGCCATGTGCCCTCGGTCCCCTTCATCCTGTGCTTGGGCACTGGCATAATTAGCAGCCCCAGCTGCCAGGCAGTTTTGATGAGAAGCCTCAGTCTTTGGTTGATGCAAAACGTATAATTTGGATGATGGAAATAGCCTCTACAAAGCACATGTGGTTGCTGCGTGCCGGTGACCTCTCCTGGCTTGCGCAGGCTGCTCTTTAAACATGGTTTAGCTACAAAGGCTTCAGTGGCATCAAACAGATGAGGCAGCGGCAGTGACCGAATGAGAGGTAACATTTGGCCATGACTGAATAAACTGTATTTTTGGCCAAGAGGCTTGGGAATGCTTCTGGCAGGAGAAGCATGAGGTAGAGATGAGAATTCAGGTGTGGAGACTAAAGACACACAAGGTCTCTGGAAGCCACTGTGGCTGGCAGCACCAGGAGCTCAGAAGCTGCACAGGCTTCTCAACACAGGTCAGCAGTTCAAGGACAACCATATCTGCAGAGGCTGGAAGTCCCCGCAATTTCCTCTCTCTTCCTAGAGCAAACCAAGCTTGTGGCTCTTTCCATGCCACTCTGGAGAGGGTGTCCTTCAGCAGACATTGCCAAACAGTGCAGGCTGATGTTTTGCTTGCCAAAGGACTGATGAAAACAGCAGAGACCTTCCTTCCCTCCCTCCTAACCATCTCCTGTAGCAACCAGGAGAAAGCCCCTCTCCTGGTGCTCCTCACCAACCCTAGGAGGGTGTGAAGCCCACTCTCCTGAATCCAGTTCTCCTGGAATCCCATTCCTTCTGGGTCCATCTCCACCACAAGAACCATCTTTTCCTGGGGAAGCCAGGTTGCGGAAGGTACCATCACCACTGGGGAAGACTTCATCTGCCTGGATCGCAAGCAAAGGGGTCTGGAGGCTCAGCGCCTCTACACAACCTCGAGTTGTGGTTGTGCCAGCACCACTGTCACACAGCTCCCTCCTCTCCACATCCCAGGCTCCTGGTGGCATCCCCACCACACAGGCTGTCATGGATGTGCAAGGTCATGGCTGGCTTGGGTAAGTAGGTGTGATTCAACATCACAACTCCCACGAATCTGGGAAGTACAACCTTATGGAAGAAAAAGGGAGTTTCAGCAGGGTGAAGCTCCTGCTATGTCTACCCCACATGCTCTCCCCATCCAACTCTGGACACAGCCCTCGATCCCCCTTGCAGGAAGCCTGCCAGTTCATATGTCTTGGAAAATTATTGGCAATACACAGAGGACAGATCTGGCAGAGTTTGGGCCTCATGGACCAGCTGCCCAAGTCTTCAGATGCTAAGTGCAGTCCAAAAGGATGTTCAACACCTCCCAAGGTCAAAGTCAGCCCTGACTGATGCAGGTGGAGGTTTGGCAACACCTCAGAAACCAAATCAGTTGCTCGGGGCACTTCCACAACCATGATCTTCCTCAGAGTGTGCACAAAATCCTGTCATGGATCTCTGGTACTCCAGGGTACCACAAACTAGGAGTCACTCCCACGTGGGCCAGTCCTGTAAGGATTTCTCTTGGGGATGCTGAGGAAACTCCCACCTAAGAGCAGAGCATCATGGGGGGACACTGAGATTCTCCCAGGCATCCCAGCACCACTGAGTGGCAGTCTGTTAGTCTCATAAGTGACAAATCCTCCTACAATCCTGCCCTGCTCCCACGGCATCTGGTGCTACTGCAGCATTAGGCCTGAGGATGGATGTCTGTAAACTAGCTGTGGGACCACTGGGGCAGCCTGAGCCCCCACAGCTGGGCTGACCTCCTGCATCCCACTTGCTCATCCCCACAGTCTGCCTGCCCAGGCCTCGAGCTCACTCTGTGGCCTTCCACTTGCCTCAGCATCAGGGCAGATCCTGCCAAGGAGGGCACTGCTGCTGCCCCCGTGGCTGGGCCCGGCTGGGGGCCAAGGGCAATGGTCTGGGAGGCTCCGTGCCTCTGTGCCAGCACACACTGGTGCACACTGTGCCAGAGCCCTGCTGTAGCTGGGGCTGTGACCCCCCAAAGGCTCCTGAAGCAGCCAGGGGTACGCAGGGAAGCGGACTCAGCAAGTGTGGCTTTCCAGGTGCCTGGCTCCAGCACACACTCCAGCTCCTCCACATCTCCAAACCACCTCCCCCAGGCCCCAGCTGCGGCAAATCTCTCCCCTTTCTCTTCATCAAACAGCAAGGACAAGGCATCTCAAGCCAGCTCAAGCACCAGAGAAGCTCCTGACCCCCTAAAAAGAGGTCCCAGGCAGGGAACTTGAAGGGACTGGACACACCAGTCCTGCCTGTACTGCTGCTACCCCACCACCAACAAGCACCAGGACTTTACAGCCGACTAGCTTGAGCACCGTGAGCACCATGATGGCTGTGCACGGCTCCCTTGCCACCTTCTCATGCCAGTTTGCCAGACCAAACACAGCTCTTCAGAGCCATAAGTCCCCACAGTCATTGCCCAGCCAAGAACCCAGGCACTGCTGGGTGGGATGCAAGGAAGACGGGATGTCAGCGGGAAAGAGAGGGCTGCCGAGGCAGCCACAATTCCTAGAGAACAGCATGTAGCACGGGAGAATGGCAAAGGCTGGGCTCACCTGCACTGAGACCCAACGCTGTGGCCTGCAATGGAGCACTGGGTTCCAGGATCCAGGGCACAGCCAGCACTGGGCCAGTGCTCGTTGTTCTCATGGAAACCCACTATGCACACAATGCATACAGCAAGCTCAAACCCACAGGGATAGCAAAGCAGGTTTCAGGCAGCCACAGCCTGAAATCAGCTCACACAAACCCTGCAGCAACATCCTTGGAGACCGTCCTCTGCCAGAGACCCAGACCTCAGGATCTGCCCAAAATGGAGCAGCAGCATGAACCCCTCGCACGGCACCTCCACCAGCAGCTTCCCAAGGTCACCCCCACGGCAAGCCACGCTGATGGTGGGGAGCAGCTGTGGCACCCGGCTGTGCAGCCTCCATCGTGTTTGGTGGGTGTTGAGACAAGGGATGGCCGACAGGACACATGGGGGAGGACAAGCTCCACCACCACCTGCCACTGCTCCTTGTGAGGAGGAACTGCCTTTCCTCCAAGGCAAGAGGCAGCTGACAGTACCTTCCCTCAAGCAAGCCTTGGAGATGGACTGAGGGCTGGACCCCCTCTGCTCTCAAGCCAGGCTGGGAGAAGGCTCTGGGGAGACTTAAAGCCCCTTTCAGTGCCCAAAGGGGCTCCAAGAGAGCTGGAGCGGGACTTTAGGACAAGGGGGAATGGCTTTCCACTGACAGAGGACAGGGGTAAATGGGATATTGGGAAGAAATTCTCCCTGTGAGGGTGGGAAGGCTCTGGCACAGGCTGCCCTGAGAAGCTGTTGCTGCCCCATCCCTGGCAGTGGCCAGGGCCAGGTTGGATATTGCTGGGAACATTCAGGGCTAGTGGAAGGTGTCCCTGCCCATGGCAGGGAATGGAACAGGATGAGCATGGATGTCTCTTCCAGCCCAAACCATTCTGTGATTCTAAGCGACTGGGGACACCGAGGCTGATGACTCCTTTCCCCTCAGCCACCCTTCACTTCAAGACACTGAGGTCGCGACCAGCGGGTCCTCACGGAGTGTCAGGAGCCCAGATGCCTCCAGCTGCCGCCTCTGGCCATTCCCATCTCGACGTCGAGCCCGGCGGTCGCGCCGGCCGCACTCACCCAGCATTTGGCTGAAGAGCAGCTGCTCCAGGTCGCCCAGCACCGTCACCACCAGCTCGGGGTCCACCTTCAGGTACGGCTTCTCCTCGGTGCCCGCCGCCACCGCCGGCCCCTTCCCGCCCAGCAACTCGTCGTCGCACTTGCCGCCGCCGCCCGCCTCGGGGGCCTTGCTGAGGGGCTTCACCTCGGCGTAGGGCCCGCGGGGGATGCGGCTCGGCTTCCCGGCGGGCGGCGGCTTGGCCGGGCCGGCGGGGCGCGGCGACAGCAGCGAGTGCTCGGAGCGGGACAGGCTCCGCGACATGGCGGGCGCGTCCCGCCCGCGGGGGCCGCCGCGCCCGCCGCCCCCCGCCGCCGCCGCCCCCGGCGCTGCCGCCTTGGCCATGTCGTCGCTCCAGCGAGGCTCATAGAGCTGCCGCTTCTTCTCGGCGTCGGTGAGGAAGGCGAGGTTGGTGAGCGACTTCTGCTTGCGCAGGTTGGAGCCGGCCGGCAGCCGCCCCTCCGCGCTGCTCGCCTTGAAGACGCGCAGCTCCGCGCCCCGCGGCCCCGCGGCCGCCGCCGCCGCCGCCTTCGCCCGCTTCGGCATCACGGTGCTGCCGTCGGGGCCCCGCCGAAAGCCGCGCTCCTCCTCGCCCAGCTCCACGTCGGGAAGGCTCTTGAGGTTGCTCCCCAGCATCCCCGCGCTGCAACCATTTAACCCGCCAGGCGCTGCTGCTGTTGCTGCGGCACCGAGGACACACCGGGCGAGACAGAGGGAGAGGCGCCGTCAGCGCCCGTCCCACCGGCCGGGGCGGAGCGGGGCGGGGAGGGGAGGGGATGGCGCGGGCGGGGACTTGGGGTGGGGGAGAAGGGGGTGAGCGGCACGGCCCCACCTCGTCGCTCCGCCGCCGGCAGGACACTGCGAACCAGCGGAATGTCAGGGGCGAACAAAAAGGGCCCGCCCTCCTCCGGCGCGGGCAGGGGGCGGGGCGCGGCGCGCGCGCCCGCGGGGGGCACAGAGTGGAGGGGAGGGGGGGACCGAGCGGGAGCCCGGGGACCGGGTGCGCGGCCAGGGGCGAGGGGCGAGGCGCGGAGCCGGCGAGCGCGGAGCCAGCCATGGCCTACCGGCCCCGCTCCGCAGCCCCTCGCAGGCAGGGACGTGCTGGGGGCTGGGTGGGAGGTGGATGAAGCCAGCGCGGGGGGCCCACGCCCCAGCACCCTGCGCTGAAGCACCCCCTGTGCCGCCCTCCATGGACCCCACACCCACCTAGACACTGCGCACCCATTCCCAGGGGGGCCAAAACATCCCCGTTTCTCCCCAAATTGTGCAGCAAGAGCCCAGGGTGGCTCCAGGAATCCCGGGAGGGACACTGTGGCCCCCAAACCCAGCGGGGCCTCTCCACTGATCCTAGGAAATTAAAGGCGGGGGGCGGGTGGCAGGAGGGCAGTGGGATCTGGTTATCATCATTTTTCATTAATTACCCGTCCCTTGGGAGGGGTGAATTAAGTCTATTTGGTGACCTCACGCGAGCTGCCATGGCAACCGCCGGGAAATATTGCATTAGACCCCATCACTGCTGCCGAGATAAGGACGGGAGGACCGGCGGTGGTGCGAGCCCCCCCGCCCAACCCCGCGCTGGTGATCCCGGTTCAGTCCGTAGTAGTGCTGAAAAGTCCCAAAATAACTCCGCCTGGATGGGACAGTAAAGGGTGCCCCAAAAAAGGGTGTTTTGCACTAAGAGGTGCTGCTGGGGCAGGATGGGTGCACAGGCTGCACCCCAAAGCCACTCGGGGTTCGGGGGAGGGCTGTTGCCTGGGTGTAGAGCAAATCTGCACGTGTTGTGTCGTTTTGGGGCTGCTGAGGTGATTCTTGGGGTCCCCCAATGTCCCCTGCTCCCTCTGGCTGGGCCCAGCGGAGCCGTGGGAGGTGCCGGGGCAGCTGGAGCAGGCACGGAGTGAGGGAAAGGATCCGGCCGCTTCCCCGGTGCTGAACCCGCTGGGCTTTGTCCCAAAACCTCCCCAAGGAGCAGGGCAGCTGCGCTGAGCGCATGCCAGCCCCGCTCGCTCCCTCCTGCTTCCTCCTGGAACACACTCCCACTTGCCGCTGGCTTCAGCACTTTCCAAATCGGGGCTCAGCGCTGATTATTCTCTGACTGAGGTACTGGGACCCCCAGCTCAAAGCCGGGCTCTGCCAGGAGCTACCGTGGATCTGACCGACTTCTGTCCCTTCAAATCACCGGGTGAAGCTCCTGGCTCTCTTTTTCCCCTTCTCTGCACATCTCTGGAGCATCCCGCCATCCTCCGCTGCCGCTGCCCTGGCAACCGCCGCCCCAGCATCCTCCCTGGACCCGCCTCCCCAAAATCTGCCCCCAAAGCAAGCGCCAGAGGGGACAGGGGTGGCCTCAGCATTGCAGCGAGGAGCTTGTATCCAGCCCTCGAGAAAGGGGGTGACCCGGTGGTTGGTGTGGGGACCCAACGGTCCCTCCACACCCTCCTTGGAAACGGGTCATTCCTGGAGCTAGCAGGAAAACTGGGAAGAGGAGGGAAAGCAGCCAGCCGGGATGATGTCCTGGCGCCATCCCCGGAGGGGTCAGTCCCCTGTGGTTGTCACAGTGTAGGGATTTGTCCACAGAGGTCACCTGATGCAGGAACTGCAGACGAGCCTTTCCCAGGGGAGTTGGGGCACCTCCAGTGTGAGGGTTCCCCCATGCCCCACTGACCTCCAGCCCTGGCTCCCATTCCAGCACAAACCTCTGTCCCCTGGCACTGTCACGGCAGCCCCCCAGCAGGACATACCCATTGCTGACCAACCCCTCTGGACTCACTCAGGCCTCTGGGCTTGGGGTCAGGGTCAGATCCCTTCTCAGGACTGGAGCACTCATCACCCGGGGATGTGACCCTCTCATGCTCCCGGTCCTCCTGCAGCCTGCGGGCAGAGGGGGGTGAGGGTGGGTGATCAGGGGCAACTGGCTGGGCACCCCGGGAGATGAGAACGGGGAGCCGTAGGCTCTACCATGGTCTGCGAACACTGGTCTCATGGCAAGGGGTCCCAGGGCACCCTATTCCCCAATGAGTCCATCCCCTGCCCCACATCAAGCTCCCATGGGTGACTTAGGAGCTCCAGCACCCCAAATCCAGTGGGAACCTTCCTTTTGGTACAGAGCCCCCTGACCCAACCCCACCATTTCCCACAGCCACCCCTGCTGGGCCTGCCTGCCTCCCCCTGTCCCCATGCCCCCCACAGCCCCATGTCCCAAGGCACCCCCAGCCCCATGTTCCCCCATCCCGTGCCCCCCATCCCCAGGGACTCACCGGTACAGGAAGGGTGCCACAGTGGCAGTGATGGGGTGGCTGTGTGGGGGCCCTGAGGAGAAAGTGATGGCCCCTGACCCAAACACAGAGCCCCTCCCCTGTGAGCCACCATGAGACTCATCCCCTGTCCCTGCCGTGGCTGTTCCACTGCCCTTCCCAAGGGACCCTCCCAGCCGCCCCCCACCCCTGCCCTGTGCTAGGGGAGCTTTGCACAACTCGGTGGGCTCCCCCACCCTGCCTGCCCCTCTCCTCCCACTGCCTGCTGCCTCTGGCCATTTCCCAGGGGACACCAGGGGTCTTGACAGGGCTTTCTGCCCGCCCTGAGCGGGGACACAAGGGCTTCCCTCCCTGCCCTCGGCCAGTTCATGGCCAGCAGCTTTGCCAGTGGCTTTGGGCTTGAGAGTCTTGGGAGCAGGGGCTGGCACCTTCCCTGGCCGAGGGGACAGAGCCCTGTGGAGGACAGGGGACCCCGGGGTGCTCAGGGGGGCTGTGGTGTGCAGTTTGCCATGGGCTATGGCACGGGGCACTGGGATGGCAGACTGGTAGTGGCTACGTCCAGTGGAGTTGACATTGGCTGTCCCCTTCATCCTGCTGAGGCAGCTGCTGGCAAGGCTGTGGAGGAAGAGGAAGATTCGTTACAGCCCAGCACAGAGCACAGCCCCTCAGCTGCACCAGACCTTGGGCTTTGTTCCTACTGGCCATGGATGCTCAATGTCCCCATCCTGGGAGAAGGCCACTGCACCTCACACCCCAGAGTGAGGACACACACAATGTCCCCTGACAGGGATCCACAGGACCAGGGCCTATGTGATGTCCACCCCCTAGGGAGCCTGTGCAGCCCCACCCCTGTGTCCCCAGGTCCCTAAAGCAGGTCTCTGCAGCAAGGACATTTGAGCACAGACCCTCACCAGTTAGGGCTACACCACAGGCAGGATGGGGCCCTCTTGGCCACTCAAAACTTTTTCCTGGTCCCCAAAACCACCTCCGGATCAACCAAGACCACCTCTCAGACACCTGAGGCCATCTCCTGGCCACCTAAAACCATCTCCTGGTCATCTAAGACCAACTTCTTGTCACCTGGAACAATCTCCTGTAACCCAAGAGCACCTTCTACTGGCAGGAGGATCAGTTCTGTGATCCCATCCACTGGTGTCCGAGTCCCACGCCCACATTGGAGCCCTCCTCATCCCCAGTGCTCCCCCACATGGCGCCAGCTGCCACATCTCTCCATTCTCCTGCTGTCATCTTGCTTGTCCCATGGTGACTTTCCATGTCACCCCTCAGACAATGCCCTGTGTCCCGCTCTTGCCTTGGGTTTTTCTCCATGTGATAAGGATGTGGTTTCATGCCACCCGAAACACCCATCCTTGGGCAGGGCCATCCTTGCCACCACCAGTGACAGGGATGTCAGCACAGCTGCAGGGAGGGGAGAAGCTCATCACTCCTCATGCCCACAGGATTTGGCCAGGCAGGCAGAGCAGAGCTCAGCAAGGAAACCAGCCATGGAACAAAGCTCCATCTCGCCTGTAACTCTTCAGGAAAAAAACCTCAAAGAAAAAGGTTTTCTCTAGAGGAAGAAATGATCTGTAGAAAGATGGGGAGCTGTGGTCCTACAGGCACAAGGTGCCACAAATCTCCCAGGACACACATTCCACAGGTTGCTCCAGCATGATTTCACTCAGCCTCCTTGAAGGAAAACCCCTTTTTGGGGTCCCAGAGCATTCTGTGGGGACCATCAGCTCCAGACTGGCCACCCATGGTAAGGGTTCCTCTACCTGGTGCTGGCTTAGTGTTGGGTGGGGGCAGTGAGTGCATTGGAGGGTGTACTGGAGCTCACTGAGGCTGTTCCTGGTGGGCTGGGGAATGCAGCCTTCCAGGTACCCCCCCAAACACACCTCCTCTTTCAAACCACCCGGCCAAGACAGAGCTTCTCCAGAGCTGGAGAGAAGCTGTGGGGTGCAGGGAGATGGCTCCTTCACCCCAATGGGAACAGCAGCCCAGCCTCAGCCCTGCATCCACTGCATTTCCCAATGCAGGGTATTACATGAACAGAGTCCAAAAATGTCCCAAATTGTCTTGTTTTGCCTCTTCCCCAAGCTGAGCTGCCCTGAGCCCTGTTTTCCCCAGGCTTTTGGGGGTCTGCAAGGACCAAACCATGCCCCACATTCTCCCCCCACCCCGGGATGACCATGTCCCTGCCACAGGCAACACTGAAATTCCCTTTTTCCAGACTCACATGAGCTGGATCATTTGATCATGGAGCCGTGGGTCATGGGGAGAAGGGCTGATGCAGCGGATGAGATCAAGGAATCGCAGCGCCAATTCCAGCGCCAGCTGGGAGCTACAGAGCTCCTTCCAAGGCAATTTTGATTAAGGGGCAGAGGAAACTGACACACACAGCTCTGGGCTTGCTCTCCCTGAAGCCTCTGAAACACTGGCATGTTTCAGAGGATGTCTCCCCACATCCTGGCTGAGCTGTCTCTGGCCCTGAGCCACGGCAGAGGTGGGGGAGGCAGTGCTGGGACAGGCACGGGGGGTTCTGGAACAGATCTGTCCTCGAGTCACTGTGGGAGGTGGGATGGAGCACGGGGCTCTGCCACTCCCGTGTGGGCACACAGATCCAGCTCAGGGGGCAACCACAGCCCCAGGGTGGGGGCCTGGGCTGGCCCCAGCCTGCACCCAAGGGTGCTGCAGTGTGGGCAGCAGGAGCCAGGCGGGGCTGTCCCTGTGCCAGTGGGATTTTCCACACCTACAAAGGTCACTCCTGGGAGCGTGGAGGCCAGGGCTCAGCACCCAGCCAGACACCAGCTCATTTTTGGGGGCCTAATGTTCCCAAACCAGCTGTGAATATCAACAGAGAGCAGCTCCCCTCTGTCCCCCTGTCTGTTCCCAGGCTGTGCCCCACAACCCATACCTACAAATCCCAATTCTACACTTTTCCCCCCTCTCTTTAAGGCAGCCCCTGCCTCGAGAGTGCTGTACCTGGGGACAGCAGTTCACAGCCTTGAGCTGCAAAATGTCTTGTGCAAACACAAAAAGGCTGACCTTCATAAAACTACAAAACAGTTTGGGCTGGAAGGGACCTTACAGACCATCATCTCATTCCAACTCCATGCCAGGGCAAGGACACCTTCCACTATCCCAGGTTGTTTCAAGCCCTGTCCAACCTGGCCTTGGACACTTCCAAGGATAAGGGAACCTTCCTTCCCAGAGGTGCAAGAATGATGAAACCACCGGTTCCAAGTCACCCATTTCACCCCAAGGTCCCTCACACAAACACCTGCAGCCCCAGCAGCTGGTTCTGGTGGGTTTTCTCCTAATAGAGGGAGATCATCTGCCTCTCACTCCATAAAATCTGTCCCAAACTCATCCTCAACCAATTCAGAAGTAAAATCTTAATCTAGATTTATGCTACAATCTTTCCCAACACCCACTGAGCACCACCAACATGCAGCACTTCTCCAGCCCTGCCTGCTCCCTGGGCGTGTGGCATCAGGGCTGTAACCAGGTTTTGTAGATTTGCTTTCCACTCTGGATTTCTCTCTTGTGGACACAACTTCCATTTCTCCCCCTCTGAGCCCACCAGCGATGCCACAGCTGCAGCAGAAGCCAAAGCTGCCACGCTGGCCACAAGAAAATCAATCCTTCTCTTGTGCTCACAGGGTTGAGGCTTCTCAGGAGATGCCAATGCCTGCTGGGAGCTGGGCTCTGGGCAGTCCTTTTCCCACCACACACACCTCAGGTGCCTCCAAGGATTCCACTGTGCCTGGCTCAGCACTACTGACCCCTCCCCAGGCTTCATCCTGCTCTAGAGATGCCATGGGCTTCCTGGGGGATGGCCGAGGGATGATGTGGATGTGGCCCCACTCCCCCAGCCTGTGACACCAGCTGGACCCTCATGCTGGGATGCCATCAAAGGGATAAACCAAAGCAGCTCCTGCAAAGTCCCTATTGCCCCCAGCAGCTCCAGGAGGAGCCACTCCTTTGCCCAGAAGCCCCCTTCACATCCAGCATCAACCACCACAAACTAAAACAATTCCTGGGAAAGATTCAGCCCATTCTTGTTCCCAAAGAATTCTTCCTTTGCCTCCAGACTGATTTTACCCTATCCAGGACTGGGTGTCCCTGGCACGTGCCCCATGATGATGGCAGGGGAGCGGACAAGCACCCCCTCGTGCTGTGTCACGCTGTGTCACGCTGTGTCACGCTGTGTCACGCTGGCATCCTGCTGCCTCTGCCTGGCTAAAGCAGGTCATGGCTTGACCCAGATAGACTCAGCAGCTCCTTTGCAATTAGCTCAAAAGGGAAACAGCTTTCTCCTTCAGCCCAGGAACAGCTCTCAAGAACAGGCTGCTGCTCCCCCTCTGAGTAATGTGAGCCCTGGGAACTTGCACCTGATTTAATTTGGGGACTTTCAGCTGCTGGGTGAGTTTTTGGCCCAGTCACTCCCCTGGGTACCAACTTGGGATCACTGGGTCCCGTGGTAGTGGAAAGCAGCAGGTGCACACGAGTGTTTCAGCACAAGGGGATATTCTGGAGCAGCCACAGCAGTGCTGTGGGCAGCAGAGCGGTGCCTGGGCATCAGGGAGGAGCCTCCTGGGCAGCTGGAGGTGTTTGTCTCCCAGCCAGGCAGAGGATATTCATTCCAGGTGCCTCCAGAGCTCAGGTCTGGAGGTGAACTTCAGTTTTTAACCCCAGAGGTGAGGTGGCATTTGATCCCTTCGGACGATGCCATACACAGAGTTACAAATGTTCACATTGAAGGAAAAGCCTTGGCTGAGCTGTGTCCTTCATCCCAGCAGTGACACAAGCCAGCACATCCCTGAAGGCATCTCCTTCAAAGAGGCATCTGCTGTACCCAGAGCTTGAACTACTTCCTCAGCCTCGTGTCCAAATCCATCTCACACGTGTGATTTTAGCAGCCAGAAATGAACAGGGACCTGGAGCCTAGTCTCCTTTCATGTCCCCATTTCCATGACCTAGAAGGGTCACTGGAGCATTCCCAGCACTGAAGCAGATCTGCTTTGGAGCCATCCATTGCCTGAGCCGGGCTGGGAACAGCCTCCGGCCCTGTGGGGGCTACAATGAGTGGCTGCAGCTCCACCACTGTGCCTTGGAGGGGTCCAGCCACAGGGCTCCCATGTTTCCAAGAGAAGAGGGAATGACTGCAAGCATTTTGCTCTTTATTTCGTAGCATTTTGGGGTGACTTTTATGAGCGAGATAAAATTTGCTTCTCTCCTATCACAGCTTAGATCCCTGCCAGGGATGACCTGTTGTCCCGTGTCCCAGGATAAATCTGGCAGGAGTCTGAGTATGAACACTGAGTGACAGAAAATGTGTTCAAACCTTCAGCCTCTGCTGGCACCTTGCTGCTGTTTTGTGCCTGTTTCCCCACCCTGACACAGCCTCTGGAAGGGTAAGATAGCTAAAACCAGGCTGATAAATAGGAAAGAGGGAGGATGGATCCTTTCCTGGGTGTGCTGGGATGCAGAACAGCTCTGTAAATTGGGAATCATTCTTGAGACACTCTTGGGACTGGCAGCAAAGGAACACCAGGGCCTGCAGCACTGTGCCAGGTGTCCCCACAGAGATGCTCAGGGGCTGCAAAGCA